AGGATTGATTCCAGTTTTGAAAGTTCTACACTAAAAATAAAAGTTCTACACTGAGTAAATGCTGTCAATACAGAGAAATTGTGCATGGAAGGAAGAGCCAATCAGTGGAGCCAGTCGTTGCAGCAAATTTCATTTTTATTTTATTTGAAGTTATTGCCATAGCCACCCCACCCTTCAGCAACCACCACCGTGGTCAGCAGCCTTCAACATCAAGATAAGACCCTCCACCACCAAAAAGATTATAAGCTCAGACGATGATTAGCGCTTTTTAATAATAAAGTGTTAAAGGTATGTACACTGTACTTTTAGATATAATGCAACTGTGCACTTTTATAGTGTAAACAATTTTTTTTAACCTGGGAAAACAAAAAAAATTATTTGACTCTGTATTGCAATATTCACTTGATTGCAGTGGTCTGGGACCCAACCTGCAGTGTCTCCAAGGTGTGCCTGTACTAAGTGGTCTGGCATAGGTAGAAATTTAATTTAAAATCATTAATGTATCTTCTTTTTCTCTCATAGGTTCAACCCAGTTTCATGCTGGCATGAGAAGATAATCCTTTGAAACATGAATCAACGTAATTTTAAACAGATTGCCTTTTGTAAATCAGTCATTCTTTTGTGCTTTTGTATTGTGGATATTCAGTGGGACCAATATGAACACAGCTTATGATTGTATACAGATCCCTTGCCAGCACATGAAAACAAACTGGAATTTGTACATATTAGCATTGTGTATGTATTCATGCACAATAATCATTAAATTACATGTATATTTGTGGAATGCTAATTTAAATGATTAAATTATAAACCTTGTGTATTTATCGGATGGGTGAAAAGATTAAACTTTTGCGCATTATGATACTGCTGAATGTGTAGCTTGAGGTGTCCTGCACTTATAAGGCTACTGAATTACATGTTTCTGCCCTAATATATTTGCTACTGGTGATGAAGACAGATACTATCACTTGTAGAGACCTATTTTTGTATAATGGTAGAAGTTTTGAATTTTATGGGGTATTTTGTCAAGTACTGAAATAAAAATGACTTCACCATTTTAACCACACTGTATTTGAACCTTTTTTGGGGGAACCTTCTTTTTTTTTTTTTTTTTTTTTTTTTTGGAACCTTCATTTTTAACTGAACTGTAGTGTTTGGTGTATGTCTTAGTTCATTCAGGCTGCTGTAACCAAATAACCATAGACTAGATGGCTTATAAACAACAGAAATTAACTTCTCACACTTCTAGAGTCTGGGAAGTCAAAAACCAAGGTGCCAGTAGATTTGATGTCCAGTAAGGGCCTGCTTCGTGTTTCATAGAATACCATCTTCTTGCTCTATCATCACATGGCAGAAGGGACGGGAGCTATTTGAGGTCTGTTATAAGGACATTAATCCCATTCATGAGACATCTGCCCCCATGACCTTACCACTTCCCAAAGGCCCCACTAACAAATACCAACAAACTGAGGATTGGATTTCAACATAAGAATTTGGTGGGGGGATATGGACACAAACATTTGGTCAGTGGCAGTGCAGATGATCTCATCTCAAATACGTGTATTTTGAGATTTAGAAAGTTGTTCTAATTTTAGATACTATTGGGATTTTTCTCTCTCTCCCTTAAGAAGTTTTCTGTATCACTCTATGTCAACTTTACATCTACTTATATTGTTTTTTAAAAGCTATATTGATATTTTCATGAGTAGTCTATAATTGCCCAATTATGTTTAGTGTTACTTGTGTCCAAAGATGTGTCTTCACAAAGCGATGCCTACTAGGACAATGCAGAAATCATTTAACTGAAGGAATCTTAAATTGTATTAAGCATAATGCTAAATCCAGCAGAATTAAGCAGTATTCTTGCTGTCCGAGCCAAATTCCAGATTGGGAAGCTCTCATAATGTAAATCTCAGCATTACTGAACCAGGATCCTCCCTGAAATACGGCATCTCACTAAAACAGCAAGGAGAGTAGTGTTTAATGCTTATATCCTGAGGATTTTGTCTTACCCCTGGACAATCTGTGATTTTATACCAACAAACAGGCTATGGTAACAAGTTCTACATTCTCAAAGATTTCAAATTACCTAATTTTTCCATATGAGCAACTGGGTTCTAAGTAAGAGGAGTTCCAGAAATAACAAATGTATTCCAAAGCATTTAGTTGAGGAGGACCTTTTTTTAGTGAGCATAGCTTGCCATTCAAGGCCCTTCTGCTATGAAAGAGAATGGAGAAGGTGGTAGACGCACAGATGTCCCATTATCTGACCATCAGGCCTCTGCAGTCCACATCTTATCGATGCTTCTCAGTCATGAGTCAGTGGTTAAAAATGAAGTTTGTTCAAAGCCAAACTATGGAAAGAGCCCAGATGAATGGATAAAGATACGGTGTATATATATATACACAATGGAATATTATGCAGCCACCAAGAAATGAAATATTGCCATTTCCAACAACATGGATGGAACTTGAGGGTATTATACTAAGCAAAATAAGTCAATCAGATCAGAGAGACAATTATCCTATGATCTCACCGATATGTGGAATTTGAGGAACAAGGCAGAGGATCACAGGGGAAGAGAGGAAAAAATGAAACAAGACAAAACCAAAGAGAGGGAGACAAACCATAAGAGACTCTTAATGTCAGGAAACAAACTGAGGGTTGCTGGAGTGGAGGGGGGTGGAAGGGATGGGGTGGCTGCGTGATGGACACTGGGGAAGGTATGTGTTGTGGTGAGCACTGTGTATTGTGTAAGATTGATGAATTATAGACCTGTACCCATGAAACAAATAATACATTATTTGTTAATAATTTTAAAAAATTGTCTATTCAAGTCTAAAACAAACTACTCACTAAGCACAGAGTAGCCTTACTCAGGGTTTGAACATTCTTTGTGCCATGAACCTCTCTAATAGTCTTGTTGAAAACTATGGGTCCCTTCTCAGAATAGTGCTTTTAAACACATATGTATAGAGTTGCGAAGGAAACCGATTACATAGAAATAGTATGTTTTTAGAAATAAGAATCTAGCAGTTGATCTAATAACTACCATAACTTTAAAATAATGATGGAAGTAAAAGACATTTCAGGAGATCTGAAACATCTTTATGTGATATGGAAAATCAGTGATTTTTGTTCTCAAAATCCTGGGTACTGCTAAGGCTCATATAGTTTTTTGCTTCATAAATAAAGGAAATACTAAATTACAGTTTGAAATTAGTACAAAGATGGATTTTTTTTCCCCATACAAGTTCCTAGATTCCTGAATTCTACTCACTGAAGCACACCACTTTACAATTAGTGAATAGACTATTTTTTTTCTCAGATAATCTTAATGTAAAAATCTCTAAAAGCAGAGATTTTTTTTTTGCCTTCACAAATAGTTTAACACAACAACCCTTCTAGCATCTTCCCCTTATACATAAGGGAAGATAGTTTGGCCTCATCCAGCAAAAACAGATCATGTCAAATTACAAGTATATAGTCAGGTCCCCAGTTACACTTTGAGTTGATTCTTGAACACAGGCTGCACACAGTGCAGCCAATGATACTACTCCCAAAGACCCTATACTCCATGCTACCTTAAAGCCAGAGTTCCTGATCTCTGATTTTGTATTTTTTTTAAAGATTTTTAACCTAAATTAAGTTTTAGTAAACAGAAGTAATAACAGAAACGTCCCTAATTAGATTCAAGAGAGGAAGCAGGAAACCACCGAGAGCCAAAGAGAACAAAAGCTATTCCTTAAGGACTTTATTTCAGGCTTTCACATTTATGTCACCATGTGGAACCAGATAGAAATTTATCAGACAAATATATAGCATTTAGTAATTAGATTAAGATACTTGTGCATTCTTTAGTATTATTATTTTTTAGGAAATATAATTACTAAGTCATCATCAGATCTGTTAATTTCCTGGAGACAATGCTTCTTCCAGTTAAAATTTCAAAGGACAGACGTGGATGGAACTAGAGGGTATCATGCTTAGTGAAATAAGTCAATCAGAGAAAGACAACTATCATATGATCTCCCTGATATGAGGGAGAGGAGATGCAACATGGGGGGTTAAGGGGGTAGGAGAGGAGTAAATGAAACAAGATGGGATTGGGAGGGAGACAAACCATAAGTGACTCAATCTCACAAAACAAACTGAGGGTTGATGGGGGGAGGAGGGTTGGGGGGGTGGGGTTATGGACATTGAGGAGGGTATGTGCTATGGTGAGTGCTGTGAAGTGTGTAAACCTGGCAATTCACAGACCTGTACCCCTGGGGATAAAAATATATATTTATAAAAAAATTTAAAATTTCAAAGGACATTTTTCTACAGCATAGCTCCACCATCGCTGGGTATCATCATACCAAAACAACTGATGAGATTCTTTTTTTTTTTTTTTTTCCTAAACATTTTATTTATTTATTTGACAGGGAGAGAGATCACAAGTAGGCAGAGGCAGGCAGAGAGGGAGGAGGAAGCAGGCTCCCCGCCGAGCAGAGAGCCCGATGCGGGGCTCGATCCCAGGACTCTGGGATCATGACCTGAGCCGAAGGCAGAGGCTTTAACCCACTGAGCCAGCCAGGTGCCCCTGATGAGATACTTTTTTATCAAAGGCTTTAAATGGGAGTTCCCTATCCACCCATCCTCACACACACAAACATTACTCAGTATAAATAACCTGAGTTTCCAAGTATCTCCCTGGGCCTCTGGGCTTTTTTCTACTTACAGATCTAGTCTAAGATGTAAATACCCCAAACCTACTTTCCAAGAGCTATGTTAAGATTAATACCTGGAAACTGTGTTTAGAATCTGTCAATTACCAAGATCCTAAATAATTTCATACTAGTGAGTTTGGTTTCCTTAATAGCCATCATAAAACTATTAGGAAATATCTGAAATGCCATTAGATTTGATGGAACCATTCAGTTAAGAAAATATAAAAACTGTAAGTTAAGCTAGTTGTCCTTTAAAATTCAAAAAAAAAGTATAAATACACCAGGAGTTGTTTCGTAAACTTCATTCTCTTCAAATGCTTTTGCGGTTTACAGTGATGTTTCACATGTTAGTTCCTTGTGGCCTTTTTCATTTTGATCTTCGTTTGTATCGGATAACTGGGTTTTCAGGGGTGTGAATCATGGTTGTATAATTCACAGTGGGAAAATATCCATCAATGAGATCAAATTCATATAAACGAAGCATAGTGGACCAAATTGTCTTGATCTGAACGTAGGCAAAATTCTCCCCAATACAACGATGACGTCCTGTTAAAAAAAGGAAAATTTTTTAAGAATCAACTGAAATTCTTTTTCCCATCTTTTCTCCTGGAGTGATAAATTTGTTTACACTTTGGAAAGATAGCAGATATAGAGATTATATAGGGGAAAGATGACATATTCTTTTCACATAAAAGAAGAATGTAAAATAAAATAGTTAATAAAAATCTCAGATTTTCAAGGTTTCTTTTTTAAGAGAAACAGCACTTGGATAATTATATAATGACTCTTCTAATTGCTTTTTTTTGAAATGTCACATCTAAGTTTAAATACATGTAAGATTTGAAATCTATGATGACAATCTACTTTGGAAATACACTAGAATATTCTTAGCTTCTGTCCCAAGAGAGCCCTAATTAAAAGTCAATCAAAACTTTAAATGCCAGGGGCAACCTGGCTGGCCAGTCAGGGGAGTGTGTGCAATTCCTGATCTCACGGTTGTGAGTTTGAGCCCCATACTGGGCGTAGAGATTACTTAAAAATACAATCTTTAAAAAAAACTTTAAATGCCATTTCAAAAGAACAATGGAATAAAAAGGGATTTAATAAATCAAAATAGCAACACATACCAAGATCAAAATTTAAAAGGTTATATACACATAAAAACTGACAAATTGATTCAAAAACAAATGGATAAAAAATACTAATTCAAAAGGATACATGCACCCCAATGTTTATGACAACATTACCTACAATAGCTAAGTTATGGAAATAGCCCAAGTATCTATAAACATGAATGGATAAAGAAGGTGTGGTACATATATACAATGAAATATTACACAGTCATAAAAAGAATGAAATCCTGGGGCGCCTGGGTGGCTCAGTGGGTTAAAGCCTCTGCCTTCGGCTCAGGTCATGGTCTCAGGGTCCTGGGATCAAGCCCCTTGTTGGGCTCTCTGCTCCGTGGGCAGCCTGCTTCCTCTCTCTGCCTACCTGTGATCTCTGTCAAATAAATAGATAAAATATTTAAAAAAAAAAAAAAAAAGGAATGAAATCCTGACATTTGCAACAATATGGATGGAGCTAGAAACTATTATGCTAAGCAAAATAAGTCAGAGAAAGACAAATGCCATCGGATTTCACTCGTGGAATTAAAGAACAAAGGAGCAAAGGGGAAAAAGAGGCAAACCAAGAAACAGACTCTTTAACTATAGAGAACAAACTAAAGGTTATCAGAATGGAGGTGGGTGGGGGGAAAGGGAGAAATAGGTGATGGGGATTAAGGTATGCACTTGTTGTAATGAGCACCGGGTGTTGTATGGAAGTGTTGAGTCACTATATTATACCCCTAAAACTAATATTACACTGTATGTTAACTAAGTGGAATTCAAATGAGAACATTTTTTAAAAATGCATATAGAAATGCAAAGGAGGACCTAGGATATCCAGAGCAGTCTTGGGGAAAAAAAATAAAATAAAAAGTTGGAAGACTTAAACTGACTTCAAGTCTGACTTCAATACTAAAGGTACAACAGCTGTGATACTGTGGTTTATAATAAATATTTGCTCTTTCTCCCATCCTTTGCCCAGAGCTCCTCAAACACCTTGGAATTTCTTAAGAGCAAAGAGCAATAAAAGAAAAAGACTTTTGTTATTCAAAACAAGCCCCTTTCAACCACACCTGGGTTTGTAGATGAGGGGACTTCTAGAAATCCCCTCAGAGTAGGGCCTGGCTGCCAGGGGAACCAACCATGTGCTTAAAGGGTTAGAACTTACAGCCCTAACTCCTGACCTCCAGGACAGAAAAGGGGCTGGAGATTGAATTAATCACCAAAGATTTAATCAATCATGCCTACATAATGAAGCCTCACCCCTATAGTATGGAGGACTGAGAGCTGTATTCAGAGAGCTTTCCAGAGCGGTGAACATATGGAGACGGTGGGAATGTGGCATTCCCAGAAAGCATGGAAGCTCTGTGCTCCTTTCCCCATACTTTGCCCTATGCATCTCCTCAAGAAGCTGTTCCTGAGTTGTATCCCCCCGCTTTGTAATAAACTGTTAATCTAGTAAATAAACTGCTTTCTGGGTTCTGTGAGCCATTTTAAGAAGCTGTGGCACCCCAAAGAGGAGACCAAGAAAACTCTGATTTATAGCTCAGCAGTCAGAAGAACAGGAGACAAACTGGACTTGCAACTGGTATCTGAGGTGATGGAGGGCAAGGGGGAGTCTTGTGGGACTACGCCCTTAACCTCTGGGGTCTGTGATTACCCCCGGTGGATAGTGTCAGAACCGAGTTGAACTGCAAGACACCCAAGTGGGTGTCCATAGAAAATTCGTGTGGGAAAAACACCCAAACATTTGGTGGCCAGAAATGTTGTTAGAAGTAGAGTGTAGAGTAGAAAGTGGGGTTCTTTTTCTTCCACAGCAACCAAGACAATGTGGTCCTGGACAGGGCTCAACAAACAGAACAATGAAATAGAGCAAAGGGCGAAGACATACTTTTATGGTTATTTGATTATCAGCAAAGGCAGTAAATAAAGCAAGCCAAGGAAGAAAAAGTCTTTTTAACACATGGTATGGGAATAACTGTATCTAGCATTAAAAAAAGGGGAGGTGGTGCCTGTGCGGCTCAGTTGGTTAAGCATCTATCTTCGGCTCAGGTCATGATCCTGGGGTCCTGGGATAGAGCCCACATCAGGTTCCCTGTTCAGTGTGGAGCCTGCTTCTCCCTATCCCTCTGCCCCAACCCCCAATATATACTCTCTTGCTTGCTTTCTCAAATAAATAAAATCTTTTTAAAAACGACAAACCAAAACCTTCAATTCCTGTCTCATACCAACTCAAAAACTAATTCCAGATGATCATAGACCCAAACATAAATGCTAAAACCATCAAAAAAATCTTTTAAGCTTTTATTTATTAAGCACAAGAGAGAGCAGACAGCACAAGCAGCGGGGGTTGGAGGGGAACAGAGGGAAAGCAAGAAGCAGACTCCCCACTGAGCAGGGAGCCCCAAGCAGGGCTTGATCCCAGGACCCTTAGATCATGACCTGAGCCAAAGGCAGATGCTTAACCAACAGAGCCACCCAGGTGCCCCAAACCATCAAATTTTAATAGGGAATAAGAGAGGAGAATATCTTCATAGCTTGGGGCCAGGCGAAGGTTTTTAGACAGGACTGGGAAACAATAACAATTTTAAAAATCAGATTTGGTTGAGGTTATTCATTTGTCAAAACAATGAATATTGACTTGAATATTTCACTGTAAAATCTTACATCAAAACTAGAATACTGAACTGTAGTTTATTATATACTTGCTGAAAAATGCAGGGTGACAATATACTGATGTATATATAGTTTACTTTAAAATGCACTTGATAAGTAAATCGAGTGATGGATATGTGATAAAGCAAGTATAAGTAAAATGCCAGTGGCAGAATCTAGATAACGGGTATATGAATGTTCAATATAAAATTCTTTTGACTTTGCTTCGAAATTTTTATTAAAATGTCAGGGGAATTTTAATAATAGGAAATATAATTCATGTATTTTTAAAAGGTTATATATAAAAGCCAGAGAGACAAACTTAATAAAAAAGGGTATCAGAAATATTTAGAAATGACCAATGCCTTCCAATCTCTCCAGCCTACCAAAACCTCATAAAGTAGTAAGCTCAGTAACAAAAGATAGCTTTTCCGGGAATACAAAAAGATCAAATTACTGGAATTGAAAAAAGCCTTGTTGAGCCTTGGTTTCCATTTCTGAAAAATAAATGACAGTCCCTAACCCTATGACAGTCATAGTGTGGTTGTGAAGATTAAATAGAGGAAAAATTTTAAAATGCGTATTACTAGCACAGTGCTGCATGGCCCATAAATGCACTTACTTCTAGGAGCCCTATTTAAGAAGGGTGTTTACAAACCATTCCATATGCAAATATAACATCTAAGGAGAGGGTTGGCTTACTCACAGGAAGATTAAAGGATTATTTTTAATAGCAGGAAACTAGAAGTACCCTAACTATGAATTAATAGGAAAATGGATAAATTCTGATGATTCACAAAGGTAATATGACAATGAATAAGCTACATGCTACATGCACCAACACAGAAAAATTTATACAATTACAAAGTCATGATTAAAGAAATTGGGACACGTTTAACATGATGATCATATGGGGTAGAACAGTGTCCCCCCAAAATTCATATCTACTCAGAAATCAGACTTTGCAGATATAATTAGTTACGATGAAGTCATACCAGGTTAGGGTGAGCCCTGAATCCAATGCTGGTGTGTCCTTCAAAGAAAGCCATGCACAGATTCAGAAATACACCCACAGGGCAGATGGCAAAGTGAATGAAGATAGGCATTGATGAGAGCAACAAGCCAAGGAATGCCAAAGATGGCCAAGAGCCACCAGAAGTTGGGGACAAGCAAGGAAAGACTGTCCGCTAGAGCCAACAGGAAGAGTATGGCCTGCCAACATCTTAATTTCAGACTTCCAGCCCCCAGAAATGTGGAAGAATAAATGTCTATTGTTTTAAGTCACCCAGTCTGTGGGAGGTACAGTAGCCCTAGGAAAGTAGCACAATGGTGAAAAATTTGAGGGAACATTATATCCTATATTCAGATAGCTCAAAGATATACAGTATAATTTCAGAGAAAACAACTAGGGGATGTTTTAAACACAATGGGATGTTAAAAGGAAACATTACAACTTTTTTTTAAGTAGCCTCAACACCCAACATGGGGGCTTGAACTCATGACCCTGAGACCGAGTGTCACATGCTCTACCAACTGAGCCAGCCAAGTGCCCCCAGATTACAGATTTAATGTTAAGTTTTTAAAAATGGAATCTGTCCAAAGAACAAAATGAGCTGCCACAGAAGGTAACTGAGCAATCTATTACCTAAAGAAGTTCAAGCGCAGCCCAGGCAATTAGCAGTTTAGAAATGACTCCTCTTTGGGGCAGACTTTGCGCCATAGAACTAATGCCCCTTCCAACTGTTTGAACAATCTACGACTCTTACATATGTGATGTTATATACCATATTATTAAATTTATTTATTAAAGTTATAAGATCTGAAGTTCCTAAAGTACTTTATACTTCCCTTTACATATGGAGACAGTGTGACCAATGACAAAAAAAAGTTGTGCCACTTCAAATCTCTTTGGAAAGGCTAAACAAGAAGTCATAAAATGTAGTTTAATCTGTAGAGTACCAGTGAAGAGAGAGATTATCGCAGGAACAAGGGTTTGCCTGCATAATTTAAGGATGGTAACTGAAATGCGTAAGTTTGCAAACCTATTCAAGACCTGCCCAAATTTAAAGATCATTTTATCCTAAGGATACAGGCAGAGCACCAAAAAGTTGACTAACAATCCAGAAAAGCTTCAATTTTAATAAGACTGCTTTTGCTCTTTTCTGAAACACTGATAATCTCTTACCATGTTTAGCCTGAAATAATTGCCCAAATGGTGTGCTAATTTCTGTGGCTCTTTAAAATAATTCACAAAGAGCTTTAAATACTGTTATAAGGGAGAACAGGGTGTACTATAAAAATTAAACCTGAAAAAACTAAATTGGTCAGAAGGTAACAGGGCATTATACAAGGATTCACTGAGCTATTTCCTTTAGAACAAAGAAAATACTTTTTCCAGTTTGGCAAAGATTAAACTCCTACAAATGTTGACAGGAATGTCCCTATGAGGAAAGGAAAAGATATTTTTAAATAAAATTCATATGGATTATTTTGACAGACATAAATATATTATCAGAACAAACATTTCAAATGTAAAATGGTATCTTACCAGCTCCAAATGGCACATAAGCAAACTTCTCTCCTGATGCTGGATTGTCCTGTAAGTAGCGATCAGGATTAAAGTCCAGACGTTCTACCCATGAGTCTTTAAGTCTCTGATTGACAGTGGGAGAGACACACACCTGATGTCCTGGAGGAATGGTATACCCTGCCACAGTCTACAAACGAAACCAACACATTTCGTTAGAGAACATAAGAACTATTTTACCAAATAACCAGACTATTGTGTAATAAAGCATTAACACATGTGATCCACATGTATTTTTAAAACTAGCTAGATGATAGGCCCGCTAAAAATTATTTTCACTCAAGATGATTTCCAAGTGACCCAACACCGGGCTGAAAACTTTAGAAAGCCGAAATACCTCAGAGGTAGCCGAGGGATATCAATGAGCCTTTCACAATCTGATCTGTATATTTCCACACTAACAGAATTTTTAACAAAACAAGCTTTTTTAAAAACCAGGGGAAAAAATATACTACCTTTTTTTTTTTTTAATTTATTTGACAGAAATCATAAGTAGGCAGAGAGAGAGGAGGAAGCAGGCTCCCCGCTGGGCAGAGAGTCCGATGCGGGGCTCGATCCCAGGACCCTGGGATCATGACCCAAGCCGAAGGCAGAGGTTTAACCCACTGAGCCACCCAGGCGCCCCTATATTACCATTTTGAAAACCCTAATTGTCAGGGCACCTTGGTGGCTCAGTCGTTAAGCGTCTGCCTTCGGCTCAGGTCATGATCCCAGGGTCCTGGGATCGAGCCCCGCATCGGGCTCCCTGCTCAGCAGAAAGTCTGCTTTTCCCTCTCCCAATCAACTGCTTGTGTTCCCTCCCTCACTTTCTCTGTGTCAAATAAATAAATAAAATCTTAAAAAAAAAAAACAAACAAAAAAACCCTAATTGTTAAATAAAAATGCAGGGAACAGATTAGCATGTATACTCTCTAATTATATAAAATTATCTATATAATCAGAATATGTAATTATATATTAGAACATAAAAAATTGAAATTATATGGGAATGATTATTCTACGTTTTTAATTTAAAAAATTCTCTTTGTGGGGCGCCTGGGTGGCTAAAGCCTCTGCCTTCGACTCAGGTCATAATCTCAAGGTCCTGGGATCCAGCCCCACATCGGACTCTCTGTTCAGTGGGGAGCCTGCTTCCTCCTCTCTCTCTGCCTGCCTCTCTGCCTACTTGTGATCTCTGTCCATTAAAGAAAATAAATAAATCTTTTTAAAACATTCTCTTTGCTGTTATATTTTTCTTCTTTTTGATAAATTAAACAGGAATGGAAAGGGAAATCTAACCAAGAGACTCACCTGAGGAGTTTTGGCCATTCTCATCATGGTCATTATAGGAGGTCGAAGTCTTAATGTTTCTTTTATACAGCGATCAAGTAAATTTAGATCCTTCAGCTAAAAAGGGAAAACATTTCCCGAGTTTTAGAAATATCTTAATTTACTTCAGCAGTATGTGTTTAAATTTCTGGGTTATAATAAAATAGATTATATTGCAGTAAAAGTGCAGAGGTAACTGGTTCAGTGTCTGAGATTATCTCATTCTGTCATTATCCATGGTCAACAAGGGAAAGAGGCCAATATTCCATCAGTATAAGCCGTAATCACTCTGAAGAATGGCACAGTAAGGGCCTGCAAAAATCCACTTGTCTAAAAAATGAAAACACTAGCAAAAATCATGCTACCACATGTATGAAACCTGAAAATATGCTAAGTGAAAGAAGCCAGTCACAAAAGACCACATATTGTATGATCCCATTTATATGAGAATGTCCAGGATACAGAAATCCATACAGACAAAAAGTAGATTAGTGGTAGCCGGTGGGGGGAAATGGCGCGTTTGACTGCTAATGGGCACCAGCTTTCTTTTGGTAGCGATTTAAATGCCCTAAAATTGTGATGGTTTTCACAATTCTGAATATATCAAAAAATAGCAAGTTATATACTCTAAATGGACTGATTCTATAGTATGTAAATTATGTATCAATTAAGTTATTATTTTAAAAGTTATAAAATCGGGAATGAAAGAGCCATCACTCCTGACCTTACAGAAATAGAAAGGATTATAAGAGAATACTATGATAACTGTAAACCAATGAATTAGGTAACCTAGAAGAAAATAGACAAATTCCTAGAAGGACAAAACCAAAGACTCAAGAAACAAAACGTTTGAATAGATGTATAACACATAATCAACTTCCCACAAAGAAAAGCACAGACTCCTATGGCTTCACTGGTGAATTCTAACCAAACATGTAAGAAAGATTATCAATCCTTCGCAAACTCTTCCAAAACACTAAAAGGGGAGGGAACACTTGTAAACTCATTCTCTGAGACCAGCATTTCTCCATACACCAAAACCTGTCAAAGACCTCATAATAAAACTACGCATCAATATTCTGTATGAACACAGATGCAAAAATCCTCAACAAAATACTAGCAAACTGAATCCAATGTTAAGACAGTTCACGGAGGTCTGTAGGGAATTTTCTAAAAGAAGCTAAACAATTTAATCTATAGTAAATAGAATATATCAAATTGTCCCCTTTAAAAACTAGCCATTCATTATATACTGCAGTCACAAAGCAATGAAAGGAAAAATGCAACAAACCTGGTCATAAGATAAAGGAGGGAGATGTTCTCCACAGACTGTTTTCTGTTCTAAATAACATTTCTCTTGAAGTGTTTTGTCTCTGGCCAAAAAAAAGCCCATCCAGGCACTAGTAGTTGAGGATGTGTGCTGGCCAGCCAAGAGCAGTCCAATAAGCATGCCCGCCACTTCATCATCTGTCAAAGGACGCCCATCCCTGTGGAAGGAGTCACACACGAATTTAACAGTTCGGCAGACCCACTCCATGCTCCACATTTATTTATTTATTTATTTATTTATTTATTTTTAAGATTTTATTTATTTATTTGACAGACAGAGATCACAAGTAGGCAGAAAGGCAGGCAGAGAGAGAGAGGGGGAAGCAGGCCCCCCGCTGAGCAGAGAGCCCGATGCGGGGCTCGATCCCAGGACCCTGGGATCATGACCCGAGCCAAAGGCAGAGGCCTTAACCTACTAAGCCACCCAGACGCCCCCATGCTCCACATTTAAATAAAGGGTCATAGTGAGTGAATTTTTCAGGTGTTAATAGTCTTGCATTTGCCCAACACAAATGAGAATTTTCTCCTGAGGGGAAAGAGGCAGACAAAAGAAAAGTATGATTTTCATTACAAAAGATGTTGCTGTGGTTTGTCAGCAGATGTTTCCCCATATGTGGTCCTCAGGCTCCAGGAAGGCGATGGGATCCCAGTAATTCATGTCTCATCCATTTAACAAGCCCAAGGCTCATAGCTACTAATTTTGTCAACATCACTACTTTTTAACTGGACATATTATTTAACTTTGTTTTAATATACAATTTCCTGCTTCGGCTTAACATGTGATCCAAACATCTCTTACTTGTAAGTAGAATCTAGTAAAGTTTGGAGAATGTCATCAATTTTTTCTTCTGACTGTCTGCGCTTCTGGATTGCTTTATAGAAAATATTCTTGATCTCTCGATGAGCTCTGTCCCTACGTCTGCAATTCAAAGACAAAAATGACTAAAAAATAATGTCATACTTTCTGGCATTAAGATTCATTTTGAAAATAACCAGGACCTCGCTTACAGCAACCTTATTTAACTAATTTAAATGACTCTAATAAAACAACTGATAAAAAAAAAAACTCAGAACCAAAAGAAAAAGAGAAGCTGTAAAAATCTCATACTGTGAGAAATTTCTAGGATCCTTAAAGGCAAGAAATGTGTCCTAACATATATATCCCTGATTCCTAATATACTTCCTGTGTTCTAACGCAAGGTCTAAAACAAGACTTATGATTATTACCTCAGAACCATTTTCCAGTTTAACAGAAGAATACTCCTTTAAATTAACAAAATTCCAATTTTAACCAAATTAATTTTTGAAAAAGATGGAGAGTCATTCTGGTTTTTCTGTAGGAGTCAGAATTTAAATAAACCTAAGATTTATTTAGGATGATCTAAATCTAGGATTTAGAACACAACTACAGTGTATAGGATTTGATTCTACTTTTGATTTTCTGAGACAACATGGTTTTATAGAGGCAAAAATACTAGTATAGTCAGAAAACAAACTTCAGGTCCCCAAATCTTAACCTTTAAAGTAGAGTGCTCATGTTTGAGAAAGTTAATTACCCACTTTTACCTCCTGTGAGGTAGATGCTCTTAGCCTCACTTAACAGGCAGCTTCATGTTACACACAGCCAGAAAGCAGTGGAGCTGAAATTTAAAACCAGGCAACCTGACTACCTAGCCTCTACCTAGCCTCTTAAAACCAGGCAACCTGACTACCTAGCTGACTGCCTAAGCCTTCCAATAAAAACTGCTGCTCCGCTGTGTTTGTAAGACTGTTACTGAGGATCTGCTGAGACAATGTGGGAAGATGTTTCCCAATATGAACACAGCAGTGCCAGAAAAACAGAAGGCTTGTTTTAAGAAAGGGAATGAATAATCTGGTTAAATCATTTGGTTCAGGTAAGACAGAGAAAGACTTGGGCTAAAGTGGGAAAGGTCTATCATACCAAGCTCAGGCATTTCTGACTTCATATAGGAAATAGAAAAGGGAAAAATGACTTGTTGCACGTTCCTGGAGACCCCACTACAGGTTATGGATGAAAACATTTTGAAAACTGCAAAGTTCCTTACAAATATAATGTTTTACAAGTTCCAAAGAATTCCAGAGAATTTCTCCTGGCTTTCTCTTTTTCTCCCCCTCATTAACCTGAAACTATACAAAACTATGTAGCAGAAGCAGAAAAAGGTAGTACCAGTTTAAGTCCTCCCATCTCTCACCTGAACGGAAATGAATCAACAGGTATAGAAAGCCCACTAATATGCAAGACACTAAAATATATGTCAAGTCCTATAAGCAATATTTCTTTGTATCAGATGGTCCCCACCTTTAAGGAAATCACAGTAAAGTTGTGAGAAAAGCACTAATACTTCAAAACAAAGAAATTTCACAACAGATTATAAAAACATAAAAACTATAAAACGGTCATATTTTCAAATAAGTGCATAGAGGGGTGTATCACTGTTAGGTTGATCCCAGAGACCTTTCTGAGTAGACGGGATATGTGAGATAAGTAGGTTTTAAATGAGAACAGCTACACAACACATGACCTCTTATCAACTGAAACTGAGCTTAAATGAGCTCACTAGATAAAGAAAACCTGTCTTGAATTCTTACAGAAGAAGGGGGCTCATAATCTCCCCTAATTTGTCTGTTTTATGTTTATTTTTTTTATCCTGGTGAATGCAAAGCATACCAACACTGCAGCATTTCTACAGTTAAATAAGCAAGTACGGTGTCTTTATCCATACCTGAAACTAGGCAAAGGGAGCCAGCCTGGCAGCAGCCAGGCCGCATGGCTGAAACCTCCATCCAGATCTGCATACAGCTGTGCCACTTTCTCATTGAGTTGACTTCTGATTTCCTTTCCATGTAAACAATGGCTAGCTGTTAAAATTATGAGCTCAGAAAGAGCCTCAAACAAATCTAGAGGAAAAAAGATCATTCCCATTACTACTGCCAAATAGTCTTTTGAAATTTTCACTTTCTTAGAGATGTAAAAGTATTACAAAGGAAAACCGAGAATACAAACTCAAGAACCAACAATATCCTGTTTGTATCTTCAATTAAAAAAAGAGCATACAGACAGACTTGGACACAACAAAGAGAGGCAAGAAACTCATGATGGGAAGCATCTCTGAACAGCCAAAATGGAAGCCACAAAGGCATCCCTGGACCTCACTCATAACTCTTCAACTTGAAAAGATAAATTGAAGATAAAAATGAATACAGTGAGGGGCACCTAGCTGGCTCAGTTGATAGAGCATGTGATTTTTGATCTTGGAGTCATGAGTTTGAGCCCTGCACTGGGTGTAGAGATTACTTAAAAATAAAAATTTTTAAAAAATTAATAAAGTTACAGGAGTTCCAAGTACTTCTTTCCAATAAAGTTACAGGAGTTCAAAGGTCAAAAGCAGTTAGACCAGGACTAAAATTTGAGGTCTTGCCTATATATGTAAGAAAACTGTAGCTAATCATCAGTTGGTATATCCCAAACTGGAGACAGATACGTCAGAGAAGCACATATGGATGACATTTAAAAGTCATAAAAATTACCCAATGCCTTGTTCTTTAATTCTGTGTTTACCAAATGAACTTCCAATTATCACTTGGCTTTGCAGTTAGATTTGCCAATGAAGTTTAGCAAATTCTGGTGTTCTTGGTACTGTAACTTTGTCTCACTTATACTTATTAAGTTGGCATTTTGGTTTATACATCAGCTTCTTAGATGGTTAGAAATATATCACATCAGCTTTAGGTGGCTTAAAAACAAAATGAAGTTTCTGGACCATTTAAAAACTGAAGACCACACCCAAAATATGGAGACCCACACAGAGGTCTTGATGCCCAGTGAGGCAGATGTTGCTTCCTGACTTGGGGTGGGAATTTTCTCCTAGAGGAACACTTATTGTCCAATATAAATAATGGATTCACATAAATATCCAAAGAAGATCAAGTTATACTCATTATATGCTATACATAATGCAAGAAAGCATATAGTAACATTTGGTGGTAGAGTAAGCCTATGTATTTAAATTTACTCATTTCATTAAATAAATCATTTCCATACAATATCAGATAGATAGGGTATGACATACAAAATTAAATCATTTAGACTTTTACTTGCTCGTGGTGAGTTAAAAAAAAGTTATTTTACTTTTTGTCTTAAAATGACCTTGCCAAAAGTCTTACGTTCAGTTTATTTCAAAATTTAACCATGACTCCTATTTGTACAAATACGTGGACGTTAATTAACCCATTCTAAGGTTTTTGCTAGGTGAACAGCAATAATCACTTCCTCTCAGGTCTTTTTAACTCTGTGGTTATCAAAACATATTCATTCCAATAATCTGAGGTGGTTTTTACATACGCTGCAGATGGTTTTTCATTACACACACACATATTCTTATATTTCTAGTCATAAAAAAAAGTAGAAATACTAGGACAAATGCAAAACCAAAACAGTTTGCTTACTTTTTTCTCCACTTTCTCCCCAACTCTGGAAGTATTCCTTTGTTTCTTTCTCAATTATAGAAACATGCTGTCTAAAGTGGGCTATGTTAAGGCCACTTTTTAACATTTTCTTCTGCTCCAAAAAAACCTTCAAAATATTAACAGTATAATACCAAGCATTAAAACACAATTTTCTTTTATCGGAAGATTCATTTGGGTTATTATAACTCTGTAACATTCGAAGAAAACAATATTCTAAAAAAAAGATATTGAAATCAAAATAATAAAAGGATTTTTAAAAACTACACCAGACATGGATCTGAAGTAACACATACAGAGATACCTGCTATGCAGGCCCTCAACTAATGATAAATTAGGAATCCCACTGCCTTTCCTTCCTACATATGCATTTTCCCACTCCTGACCCGAGGGCTTCCCTTTCCTATCCTGTTATGTTCTAGCATCCCAACCCAAACCAGATACTAACACAAGTCCCCAAATGTTCATTATGTTTCCATATCATTTTTATCCTACTTCATATATTTTCCCATTCCATTCCCAAACAACTATCATTCTTCTCACTATCTTCCAGAAGTTTAACGAGAATTTCAATATAGTCTGACTGAAATAAATTCACACTGAGACAACCAATGGTTGTAAACCATTGGGACATTTCTATTTTAAGAATCTGATCATCAGTGTGAAAAAATGAGTAGATATATTTGACCAGAGGGATTTTCTAGGGTTCTTGCATTTGGCCTTGAGGAGCCATTCATTCCCCCGCACCTCGCTCATCCCCAGAAATAATACTTAATGTCAACTCTTAACCACTATACTAGGATACTAGGTCATGTGTGGTACGATCTCAGCCAGAGCCCACACCAAGCCACAGAGCCAATGATCTCATCTGTGTTTTGCATCAATTTGCACCACTTTAATATCTGACTTTAAGAGGGGAAAAGAAATCACACCCACTTCTAAAGCCAACAATCTCTAGCTCAAAAGAGTGCATATGCTAGAGTTTCAGGTAGTAGAGTCATAGGAGGCCCTTCCAATGAAATAATGAGATTTTCTTGTTACCCACTCGAATCAATGCCCTAAGTTATCATCAATTCTCTTTGTTCAGGCAACCTTTAAAATTGCTTAGCCCATGTCTGCAGCTATAAAACAATAACCCATTCCTCATCAGTTACCCAGGCCTTTCCTTTTAAATCTCTCATTCTACAATTTTTTGAACCAAGGAATGTATTTCTACATTCTAAATGTACAATATTATACTATCAGCTGTAACTATTATATTACAGATTTGTCTTTCTTGAAGATACCGGTGTCACCTACCGGATTTGGCACATCATATGCAACTCCCTTCCCAAACACAGGTGTTGTCAGACGACTGTAGACATCTTCTGCATTCAGGTCCTCATTTTTACTATTAAAAAGCAGTGCAGCAGCATCACTCCCCAGAAGATAAGTAAATGTCTTGCCCACCATGGTAAAACTAAATACAGGTCCATACTAAAGAAAGAAAAGTAGCCATAGTGATGATACTGAAAAATATGTACCCCTAGACAAAACCCTAATTCATTAATTCACAAAACATTTTTGAAAATTAAAACACGCATAAACTTTAATGCAATTATTCACCCAGTCTTTGTCCAAATTTGTAATTATTTTCATCCAGTTGAAAGTGAAATACAAACTTTTTATTCTGCTTTTTTTCAGTTTCTACTGAAAATATTCTCTATCCTTTACACAGACATCATAATTTTAGGAATTATTCTTTCATTATTGGACATATGGATGATATGTCAGTTCTTTATTTATTACGGATAATTCTGCAATGAGTATCTCTGAGAATACAGACCTTTTTCCCCCTTGATTAAAGATAAATTTACAGGAGTCACCAAAGGTTATGACCTGTCCTATTGTGCTTGCTGTGTAAAGACATCCGAAGTTTATTTAGTTACCCAGTTTACTACTATCCCACCAACACTAAATTATTTCATTTTTAAACTTTTGTTAATCTGGTTAGGTGTTAAATGCTTTACCTTGAAGTTTTCTGATTATTAGTAAAGACCAGGCTCTGGGGATACAACTAAATCAAATAATCACATTAACAAATGTAAAAGTGCAAATGTGATAAGTACTATTGGAAGGAAAGCAACTCCTTGAGGAGAGAACTGATAAAAGGGAGACCAAAGGGAGGAAAGGCCACCTGAGCTGAGGCTCAAAGGATGAGACACCCCGGCATGCACGAAGATCCGAATGGGGGGCGGCAGGTGGTGGGGAAGGACAAGATGAGAGCTGAGTCTGCAGGGCCTAGACCATACAGAGTCTCATAAGCCATATTAGGAAGTTTTTTCTTACAAGCAATGGAAACCCATAGAAGATTTTAAACTGCATGGGAGGGACACACTGGTATATGCATATTTTAAAAGAAAGATCCCTCTGGCTCCTATAAGGAGGAGGGTGAAACAAGAGCAGAAGGAATGTCAGACGAGTTAGAGCCTATTGCAGGAACCTGATGATGAAAACTTGCCATGTGGTAATGATGGGACAGTGCACACAGAAGCAGATGGATACTGAATTATTTTGAAGAGAGAATCTGCAGACATCAATGGATTGAGAAAGGGAAGTATCAAGAATGAATCCTAGGCTTCTGGCAAACAGAAAAATGGTGAGAAGAGAAAACAAGACAACCAGGATTGGAGAGAGAAAAACCAAGGGTTAGCCTTCGGAAATGCTGGATTTCAGGCACCTGTGAGACAACTCAGGAAGAATCATGTGGAAGTTGGGACATCTAGGTCTGGAGCTGGAGAAGAGACCTTAACCAGAGACATTACTTTGGGTGTCATCTAGCTATGTCTAGTAAGTGAAGCCACAGGTTAGAGATGAAATCACCTAGGAAAGACTAAAGGCCAAGGCCCAAACCTCCATGAACCCCAACAGTAAATGCCCAGGCATGAGCCCACGAATGAGTTAGAGAAAAAGCAGTCAGAGAAATAAGGGGGCAAATGAGAGAAGACACATTTAAGAAGGAGGGAGTAGTCACCAGTGACAAATACAGCTGAGGGGTCAAGTTCATTAAACTAGGACATGGAGCTCATTAGTGAAGGGGCTGACAGACAGACTAGGGTAGACTGAGAGTAAGTAAACAGGAGATTTGGATTTGGAAACAGTTAAGTACAGAAAATTTGCTAATGGGGGAGGGGCATGAGAGGAGATCTGTAAGTCAAGAGAAGCTCTAGTCTTTTTAAATGAGCGACTTTTGAAAATTTTTCAGAGAAAATGGGAAAGATCCAGTTGAAGGCAGTCACTACACAAAGAAGAAATAATTGCATAAGGTTCCTGAGATCAAAGATGGATTGAGACTTTAACTTCCAAAAGGAAGCAAAATAGTATAAAATCAACATGATAGCCCCTGCTGGGCTCAGAGCACAAGATTCTAGAGCCAATATTTTTATTTCCTTTGCATTATTTTGATTGACACCTTGAATGGAGAGCCAAACATTCCCTCTTCATCTGACCAGCAATGGCCCTCTAACTGTAGTAGGAAAAAACAAAACAAAGCAAAACACAACATTTGGTCTGAAAATTGGTGACAACTGGCACTTAAGATCAGAAAAAGAGTTGTTTATACTTGATGCCTTAAGATGCTGTCGGCCCAAAGCTCTGAGAGACTTTAAGATAGAAAGTAATACTTAACCACGGTACTAGAGTTTTCGTAGAATTGTTACATTTGATAATAAAACCCGCCTGTTTAATCTCAAAAAAAAAAACTAAAAAAAAAAAAAAAAAAAGATTCTAGAGCCAAACTGCCCAGGTCCTCTACCTGTTAGCTGTTGTGACCTTGGTCCTACAGTCAGAGAACTTAACCTCTCTGTACTTCAGTTTCCCTCATTCATAAAATGGAAATAACAGAACCTATTATCAAGACTAAATATGTATCACCTTATCCATGATGTGTGGGTGTGTGTACAGAGAGATATATAAATAGATATAGATATTTTAGATATATTAGAAAAGAGAGTGTTGGCCATAGTAAATTTACTTGTGTTTACTACTACTACTACTACTACTACTACCACTATTATTATTACAATTATTATTATTAAAAGCACAGACTCAGAAATTAGACCATGTTTTATTATTATTATTAAAAGCACAGATTCAGAAATTAGACGATGTATAAATCCTGGCTTGGCCACTAGCCAGTAGTGAGCCCAAGAACAAATTATGTAACCTGTTTTCTCAGTTTTATCATCTATACAATGGATATACCTGAAAGGATTTTTGTGGAACTTCAGTCAGATAATCTATGTAAAGAACTTAGTGGTACAAAGTCAGTGTTTTATAATTAGTGTAACAGGAAGAAAAGAGAATGATGTTTGAAAGTGGGAACATGAGAAGTTTCTCTTTGGATGGTTTTACATCTCTAAAGAGGAGACAAAGTCATCTACTTTGATAGGAAGAATTAGGAGTTTAGAAAAGTGAAGGTTTGAATCATCATTGTGAGGAGTAGAAAGTATGCCAGACATACTTTGGCATAACACGATTGTTGAGCAGTGTTCAAAGTTCATTCACGTAGGGAATCCTGATGTTAGGAAGGAACTAATCTGGTGCGAGGAAGAAAAGAAAAAGAAAAATCCCCACAAGTTTGGGGTTTTACTAGGTAAGCAAAATGAAAAGATCCAGAGTATGTATGGTATTGGCCACAGTGGCACTGAAATGATGGACCACTGTACCAAACTGGAAAACAAAGGAAAGTGAAGAAAAGAAGCTAACCGGTCAGGAGAAAGTAAATGGGACAATGGATTGGAAAATCTAATAAGGTCAAAGAATGGTTCTAATGGAAGGAACTGAAGAAGAAAGCCAGGAAAAGAAGTTGTGGTCTAAGACTAAAGTGTTTAAATTTATATTGTGGCGCTGAAAGAGTTAAGAGTGACAACAATTCACAGTGGAACTGTGGGATAAATGGCTGAACTGGTATTGGAAAGCTCACTAGAGAGAAGAGGGACAAAGATCTGAGTGGCCATGGTACCCTGTGGGTCATCCAAGTGAAACTGAAGTCACAGATATGTAGAGCAGGTTAGAAAATTCCACAGGGGACCGGTTAAGAAAAAGAAGGATCGATCAGTATCAATTTTAACTATGATCAGTAAGTACAAAATTTAGGCAAGTGGTTTTTTTGTTTTTTTTTTAAGTAAGCAAGTGGTTTTTAAATCACAGCTGCCAGAACTTTCCTCAGTGATGTCTCAGAGATCACCCAAGACACAGAAAAAGTTACAAGAGTCTCCAAGACCCCGCCAGCTTAAACAGGAACAGCTCCAATTTAATTGGTTTCCTATACTGGGGATAAGCCTAAGATTACACTTTTTTTTTAATGTTCTGCCATTTAAAAAAAGTTTGAAAAGCACAAATTTCTTTTCCTATAATTATTTGGAAGACTTACCTTCTCATATGCATTTTCTAGGAATTCAATTGGACTTTTCCCAAATGCTATGGCATGTCCAAGGAATGGAATTGGAGAGAAAATGTATGGTGGACTTTTCTGCAAAAGAAGACAAAAAATTGCGGGTTCAGATTTCATTTTGAGATATCCTGTTTGTTTTAAGACTTTATTTATTTGACAGTGAGAGACAGAGAGAGGGAACATAAGCAGAGAGAGTGGGAGAGGGAGAAGCAGGCTTCCCACCGAGCAGGGAGCCTTATGCGGCTCGATCCAAGGACCCTGGGATCATGACGTGAGCCAAAGGCAGATGCTTAACGACTGAGCCACCCAGGCAGCCCGAGATAACCATTTTAGTTTTTTAGTTTCCTGATCAAACACATGAAATTTACCACTAATACTAAAAAGTTACCTAACTTAAAAACTGCCAAACTGCAAATATCTTTGGAGAGTGGCCATAGTAAAAAGAACCGAAACTCAAAACATGGTATAAGTGACTAGACAAACACAAAGGTATTGTAATTACACATGCTGAACACTGTCCAGTGTATGTCTAGTATTATTTATTGGTGGCTCTAGGTAACGTTCTTAACCATTAGCCCCCCCCCCAAAAAAAAACCAGGAAAATCAAACTGTATTGTCTTTACCACTACCACGCACAATTTTAGTTCCAGAATCTTGCCTAAAGAAGGTATAGAAAAAGACAAACAGTAACTTGAGGTATAGAAAGATGTGAAATGTTTAAGAAGCTACATTTATGAGGAAACAGAACACATCTCATCCACTGATTTTATTTTACTTTTTAAGTAGTCTCCACACCCAGCATGGGGTCTAAACTCAGGACCCTGAGATCAAGACCTGAGCTGAGATCAAGGACCAGATGCTTAATCAACTGAACCACCCAGCGCCCCTCATCCACTGATTTTAGAGTAGATCAGCACTAGCAGGAACTCCTTCTCACTCACTATAAAAGGTACTTCCGATGCCCTAGGTTTTAAAAAACGACTTGGTCAAAAGTTCATACATTCCATTGCCAGTAAAAGGGCAGTTTTAAAAGCTACTTGGTGTTGTTTGGTTAAGGATGCATTCATCAAATATTATTAGGTAAGTATGAAGCTAGTGGTCAATAAAAACACTAAATTAAAGAAACTGACACTTCTTAGCATCATAAGAAGGGACAATCCAGTCACTCCCACCCTACCAAACACGCCCCCCACCCCCATACAGATAGAAATCGCCATTAGGGGCAATACTACAGCCCAAAGGATACTGAACCCCACCAGGGCAATCACCAAGATGACGACCACCAAGGCGCTCAATGCTACAGCCGACAGTCTGGCCTCGGCCATTTGGGGCACCAGCACCTCAGCCAGCACAACCACCACTAAGACCATAAACGCGGCAAGCACGACGCCCACCAAGACCAGACACGCGGCCACCGCCAGAATCGCTACAGATTGCAGGACCCCCAGCACCCCCAGCGATGAGGTCAGTCCCATGCCACCCCAATTAAGACGAGTCTGACAGGTATTAATGTATGGCATAACGATAAGCCAGCAAGACCAAGTAAGTCGCGACCACAAGCAGCAGAGGGAGCAGCCACTTCCCCGTCCCCAGTGCGTCCGCCCCCGTCGCCCATCTGAGCACGGCTGCGCCGCCACTCCCGCTAGCACTTTGGCCGCCTTTGTCCTCGCCCCGCTAGCCCTTAGACCAGTGGTCGCTGCGTCCCCCACCCGGATCCCCTAGGGTGCACGTACCGCCCCCGCGGGCAGGGGGGCCAGGTGGCCGACTGCGAGGCGGAACAGGTAGACTAGGCCAAGGGTGAAGGCGCAGGCGATCAGCAGCATGGACAGGAGGTTGCCGCCGGTCACCCGCTCCATCGCCTGCCCCAGCACCGACCCGCCCGCCTGCAGTAAACCCAGCAACACCATCCTGACCGCCGCTGCAGCCACTACAGTTCGCCAGAGACGCTGGAGGCCGAGGTCGCCACCGCTCTTCCGACTCGATGGAGCGAGTAAAGCCGGTAGACTGGCGTCCGGAGGCGGCCCCGGCCCCCAGGTCTCCTACTAAACCCAGTCCCACCCCCTACTCTCGGCTCCCACGCGCGCCACTGTGCGTCACAGAACGGGGCGGGCCTGATGCTAACCACGCCCCCAAGTAGGTCTTAATATGGCCGAGGTCTCCTTACGCCAGGAGAGAGGCCCTGAAAAAAACAGGCTGCACTTATGGAATGAGTGGTACAGAGACAGAAAAGAACGAAAGCTAAAGAGACGGTCACCCCCTGAGAATCGCGGGCCACCTGAGCCTGCGTGGCCCGGGGTGCGGGGCACCACGATACAGCGCCGGGAAAGGGCGGGCGGAGGGATCTCAGAGCGGAGTTTGCTGAGGGATGGCAGCGGAGGCGGTGCGCTCTGTGATTGCTCCGCTCGCGCGTGAGGTGATCTCAGCTTATGTGGCGTCAGCTAGGCAGGTGGCTTGAGCACCGCCCTGGGCCTGGGCAAGCGACCCGCTGCAACCGAGCTTTTCAGGGCCCGCGTCCTGAGGTACTGGAGAGACAGCCAACAAGCTCGGGAGAAGGGAGATTGTGAAAGAGGCCGTCTACACACGGAAGGGTGGGGCGATGAGGTCAGTCCCATGCCACCCCAATTAAGACGAGTCTGACAGGTGTTAATGTATGGCATAACGATAACAAAACTTAGTTGCTGTCTGGATTATACGGAAACAGGTTTTCCGAAATAAATTTGTATGTTTTAGGCCAACGCCATGTATTGGAGGCAGCCCTCTGTCCAGAAAGATTTTAAAGCGGAACTTCAGTCCTAAAGCTACAGTCACTTGGCCACCCGCTCCTGTGGTCTCAAACAAGCATATATATATCACGACCACCAAATTTAATTCGCGTCCTATATCACTCTCATGAGCTCCTGACCATCCTCATGTATTTGCTCAGCCACTATAAAGAGCTAGGTGTTGTGCAGGATAGGCGCTGGGGATACAGCGGTGGAAGAGAACTGCAGGGCCTTCAGGGAAGGAGCAGGAGTATCTAATTACCTGCTCAACACCTCCACCTAAATGCCTTTCATCTCCTTGTCGGTAAATCCCGAAATGGATTTCCCTCCTCCTACCCCGCTGCCAACCTCCTATGAGGCCCATGTAGTATGGGCACCACTATGCATCGCATTGCCCTCCTCCATTCCTCATATTTAATCTATCACCACATCTTACAATTCCACCACTTTGTTTCTCCACTCACCACGACCTTAGGTCAGGTCTCCTTGTTGCTTCTCTGCATTGCAAAAGTACCCTACCTGGTACTTGTCCATTCTTGTCCTTAATCTGTCCTCCCCACTGTTGCCGTTTCTTGCTCAATCCCAGCACCCTGGGATCTCTAAAAAATGTTGCAATCATCTCTGTAGGTTTCCTCTATTAGAAAATGAACTTGAGAATCGGGATCATGTCTTAATTGTTTTTATATTCTGCTTTTATCCTAATACCTACCATAGCAGTTCTCAAAATTGTGGTCCATAGCCCTCTGGGTATCCCCAAGAGCCTTTCAGAATATCTACAAAGTCAAAGCTCTTTATAATAATACTGTTATTTTCTTTATCACTGCTGGAATTTGCCCTGATAGTGTAAAATCAGTAGTAAATAAAAACTTCTTGGGCTTTGGCACAAATCAAAGGCAATGATACCAAACTCGAGCAGTTATTATTCTTCACTGCCGTGCACTTGCAATAGGAAAAAAAAATTACCTATTTCACTTAAGACTGTCCTTGATGAAATTGTGAATATTAGTTTTATTAAAGTTCAAACGTTGAGTACATGTATTTTTTAACTAGCAGACTTTTTTATGGAATAACATTTTGCTTGAAAGAATGACTACCAAACTCAGGTCATTCACATTTATTTGACATTTTCTTGAAAATGAAACCAGTCTGTCCTTTTAAAGAAAATCATTGTCAATATTTGTTGTCAGTAATAAAAATTAAAGCTTTCCAGGGCACCTGTGTGGCTCAGTCGCTTATTGATTGATTTTGGGTCACGTGATTTTGGCTCATGATCTCTGGGTCATAAGATCGAGCCCCAAGTTGGGCTCCATGCATGCTTAAAATTTTCCCTCTCCTGACCCCTTCCTCCCAACCCCACCCCCGGGCTCGCACTCTCTCTCTCAAAAAACAAACAAACTTTCGAATAAAAATTAAGAATTTTAGGAAACTTAGCTACTACTGTAAATTTGACAACATAACTAATTCTTGAGACTTTTCTGCAGAGGAAGATTTAGTAAGGATTTTGTGTAATAAAATGTGTCAACTTTAGAATCTTTGCAAAATTCATTGAACCAGTATTTTCAAATGACCAATGCATGATGTTACCAAATCATGCATGGGTAAAATATTTTTTGAAAGTACAAGTTAGACCAAAAGATTTTCATAGAATATAAAAAGTTCATTGATCTACCTCTAGATTCTACATTGTCACTAACTTTTAAGATACTACCACTTATAAAGAAAATTACCTATAATTATCTGGAAAAGTTGTTTTTTTTTTTTTTTTAAGATTTTATTTACTTATTTGACAGACAGAGATCACAACTAGGCAGAGAGGCAGGCAGAGAGAGAGGAGGAGGAAGCAGGCTCCCTGCTGAGCAGAGAGCCTGATACCCAAGCCGAAGGCAGAGGCTTTAACCCACTGAGCCACCCAGGCGCCCCTATCTGGAAAAGTTATTAAAATATTCCTGCCTTTTCCGACTATATAGCTGTGTGAAGTTTATATAATTCAACACAAACAATGCACATGATTGAATACAGAAGCACATATGAGAATTCAACTATCTTCCATTAAGCCAGGCAGTAAAGGGATCTGCAAAAATCTGAAGTAGCACCATGTATTTCCCTATTTTATTTTTTTATTTTAATTTTTTAGAGAGAATGAGCACAGGGGAGGGGCAGGAAGAGTGAGAGATGATCCTAAACAGGCTCCACATCCACCACAGAATCCCATGGGGGGCTTGATCTCACCACCCTGAGATCATCAGCCAAAATGAAGAGTTGGAGGCTTAACCAACTGAGCAACCCAGTGCCCCACTCACTATTTTCTTTTATTTGAAAACATAACTATGTTCATTAAAATGCATTGTTTATGTTAACATGGGCTTGTTATTTTTAATAAATTAATATTTTTATTTCTCCACCTTAATTTGTATTACTGTAAATATGTATAGATATACACATTTTTTAAGTTCCTTAGGGTTCTTAATAATTTATGAGATTGTGAAAGACTCCTGAGACCAAAAAGTTTGTAAACTGCTGACCTAGAATATGAGTTGTGAGGCTTTCAATTTTTGTGCTCTATGAACCGCATCCCATACCATTAGTATGACCTTCCTATGAAATAGTTTTAAAACAAGACATTTGATTAATTATAACTCCAGGGTAGTTCTCATTATTATATAGCCATAGCTTTTGTTATTTTAATATGAGTTTGCCAAAGTGATATTTCAGAAGCACATCATAAAATGAAAAGGGAGATTATTGATTCACCATGGATTCAATCCTACTATTATCTTATTAGTTGAGTATGATAATTCATCTTTTTCCTGTGCTGTCCATACTTTTCATCAGACCACTCTTAACGTTATTGAAATTAAATTTAATTCCTTATCGTGAACTGAAATCCTGGGTGATAATCAAGCATTTGTGAGCAATGCCAATTTTTTTGTTTGTTTGTTTAAATATAAAGTTAAATAGTAAGATCTTGACTGAAAATTAGGATAATTTTATTGGAAAATGTATTTTTTTTTTTTAAGATTTCATTTGACACAGAGAGAAGGAGGGGAGAGAGCAAACACAAGTGGTGGGGGGAGGGGGAGAGGGGAGAAGTGACAGGCAGAGGGAGAAACAGGCTTCCCACCGAGCAAGGAATTGGATATGGGGCTCAATCCCAGCACCCTGGGATCAGGACTGGAGCCAAAGGCAGCCACTTAACCAGCGAGCCACCAAGGCATCCCAGAAAATGTTTTCTTAAAATAATAATAGTAGTAATAATAATAATAATTTTCTTTCTGTAATCTTCCTCAGATATATTTGGAAGGGGAAGGAGGAGGATCATATTAAGTACAATACAAACTACAGCCATTTCTCCAGAGAGCTCTTCTCCCTCTCAGCTTGGCCTTGAGCCTCTGCTCACTTTCCCATAATTCCTCAATAAAATGCTGCTCTGACAAGAAGGGTGATTCCCTTAAAATCCCCAAAACCACACTTTGGACATATGACCTTACCTTTACAACTTTACTGAAGGACTGTAGATAACAAAGTAAAATTTTAGAACCTGAAAGAACTAAAACCATACGCTAAACATAACTGTTTCTAAAGAAAAAGAACAAAACGTTAAACATGTCATGGGGAGCAGGAGTTAGTTTCCTTCATAGACACAGAACATTATGTGGTTTTCCTTTTGAAAATTTACTACTATGCTGCTCCTCACTGAAGGGGTTTTCTTTATTCTTTTTAAAGATTTATTTTATGTATTTTAGAGAGAGAAAGAGAATGAGAGCAGAGGGGCAGGGAGAATCTCAAGCAGGCTCCAGGCCCAACACAGAGCCTGACACAGGGCTTGATCTCAGGACCCTGAGATCATGACCTGAACCAAAATCAAGAGTTGGTTGCTTAACTGACTGGGCCACCCAGGCACCCCTGAAGGTGGTTTCTTTAATCCCTAATGTCAAAAAATCTCCATTTCAGTGAATTCTAATCCCTACTCACAGAAATTTATTTCACCCAAGGATCCGCAACCCACCCACACCCAAACCCTAACCTGCCCCTCCCCAAAAGGGCCCCCAAAAGGGCAGTTCACAGGGCACAATTACACAGAACATTTCCCTAAGTCTGCATTTTTCAGTAAGAGGCAGTTAAGCAAAGCTGTCTCATTTGACACATCAAGTTAAGACCCCTCAAGTTTCTATGCCAGTGTGAAATAAGATGTACATCTTCATTTCTTCTGTAGTTTTCTGATAACTTATTGGACCAAATACACACACCAAGAACAAATATCTTTCAGCCCTGGGACAAAGACAAATAAAGGAAGAGAAACATTTTC